CCAACACTGGCTCGAGATAGATGTGAATAGCCTAGATTAGCACAATGACAGGAAAAGCTAACCTGGCTCTGTCTGAAGTTCAAACACACCTACCAGCACTGCTCAAAATCATTAATTGTCCATTTATTAGTTTTCTCTGGACCCCTGCCCAATGTGACCAGTGATGACATGTATAGCCGCATGTTGTCATTCCACCGCTGGCTGTCGAGGTGGTGTCCAGCAAACGATGTGGGCTTCATTGATAACTGGAAGCCTTTTTGGGGAAAACCTGGTCTGATTAGGAGAGACGGTATCCATCCCACTTTTGACGGAGCGGCTCTCTTATCTAGAAATATGGCGAAGTTTATTTCTAAAACCTGACAGTCCAGAGTTGGGACCAGGAAGTAGAGCTGTTGTCTTACACACTTCTCTGCGATTTCTTTAGAACAGTCACCCACCCAAAACCCCATAGAGACTGTGTCTGTCCCCCGACCACCTAAATTATTTAAAGAAATAAAAACAAGAGGAGTTCAACATAAAAATCTAATACAAATTAAAACTAACTCCTCAGTAGCACAAAATAAGAGAATGAAATGTGGGCTGTTAAATATCAGGTCTCTGTCTTCAAAAGCTGTTTTAGTGAATGAATTAAAATCAGATTATGATATTGATTTACTTTGTCTTACTGAGACCTGGTTGTCCCACGAGGAGTATGTTAGCCTAAATGAATCCACCCCCCCAGTCATATTAATACTCACATTCCTCGAGGCACCGGCCGAGGAGGTGGAGTAGCAGCCATATATGATTAGAGCGTTTTAATGGACCCTAAACCTAAACTAAATTATAATTCATTTGAAAGCCTTGTTCTTAGTCTTTCTCACCCAAACTGGAAAACACTGCAGCCAGTTCTATGTGTTGTAGTGTACCATGCTCCTGGACCGTACTCTGATTTTATATCTGAATTCTCAGAGTTTTTATCAAGTTTAGTCCTTAAATCAGATAAAGTAATTATTGTAGGTGATTTTAATATTCATGTGGATGTTGACAATGGCAGCCTTAGTAACGCATTTATATCATTAATAGACTCAATTGGCTTCTGTCAGAGTGTAAATAAACCAACTCATTGTTTTAATCACACTCTTGACCTTGTTTTATCATATGGCATTGATATTGAACATTTAATAGTCTTCCCACATAATCCTTTCCTATCTGACCATTATTTAATAACTTTTAAATTCATACTATTAGATTATAAGCCATTAGGCAAAACTTCCTACAGCAGATGTCTATCTGACAGTGCTGTAGCTAAATTTAAGGAGGAGATTCCTTCAGTGTTTAATTCAATGCTATGTCTGAATATAACAGAGTCCTATAACAACTTTAGTCCCTCCGAAATTGATAATCTTGTCGATAGTGCTGCAGGCTCACTACAATCAACATTAGACTCTATCGTTCCTATAAAAAGGAAATTATTAAAACATAGGAGACTAGCACCGTGGTACAACCACCAAACCCGCCAATTAAAGCAAATAGCAAGGAAATCTGAAAGGAAATGGCGCTCTTCCAAATTATCATAATATCGCTCAATTTGGCAAGATAATCTTAAAACCGAAAGGCCCTCCGTAATGCCAGAGGAGCCTATTACTCAGCACTAATAGAAGAAAATAAGAATAACCCCAGGTTCCTCTTCAGCACTGTAGCCAGGCTGACAGAGAGTCACAGCTCTATTGAGCCACATATCCCCATGAACTTAAATAGCCTCTATGAGCTTCTTTTTAAATAAAATTATTACTATTAGAGAGAAAATTAATCACCAACTGCTGTCAACAGTCATCAGTGGATCTCCAAGTTCAGGGACTTTTGCTAATGTAAACTTAGATATATATTTAGACTGTTTTTCTGCTATCGATCTTCATCAGTTAACTTCAATCATTTCTTCATCGAAGCCATCAACCTGTCTATTAGACCTGATCCCAACTAGGCTGCTTAAAGAAGTTGTTCCCTTAATTGGCACTTCTTTACTGGATATGATTAATCTTTCTTTATTATCAGGATATGTACCACAGTCCTTTAAAGTAGCTGTAATTAAACCCTTTCTTAAAAATTTAGATTTAGATTTAGAGTTCATCATAGCACAGAGACAGCTCTGGTTAAAGTTAATAATGACCTTCTGATTGCTTCTGACAATGGACTTGTCTTTGTACTTGTATTATTAGATCTTAGTGCTGCATTTGACACCATTGACCATGATATTCTTTTACAGAGACTTGAGCATCAAATTGGCATTAAAGGAACCGCACTAAGCTGGTTTAAGTCATATTTATCAGATCGTTCGCAGTTTGTACATGTTAACGATGAATCTTCAATAAATACTACAGTTAGTCATGGAGTTCCACAAGGTTCTGTACTTGGACCATTACTATTTACTCTATATATGCTCCCTTTAGGCAACATTATTAGGAATCACTCCATTAACTTTCACTGTTATGCAGATGATAAGCAGTTATATCTATCAATCAAGCCCGATGAAATTAATCAATTATCTAAATTACAAACATGTCTTAAGGACATAAACTCCTGGATGAGCTGCAATTTTCTGATGTTAAACTCAGAAAAAAACGAAATTCTTGTTCTTGGCCCCAAAAACCTTAGAGACTCACTGTCTAAAGATATAGTTACTCTAGATGGCATTACCTTGGCCTCTAGCACCACTGTCAGGAATCTTGGAGTTATCTTTGATCAGGATTTGTCTTTTAACTCCCACTTGAAGCAGACCTCTAGGACTGCCTTCTTTCATTTACGTAATATTATAAAAATTAGACACATACTATCACAGACAGATGCAGAAAAACTAATCCATGCATTTGTTACTTCAAGGCTGGATTACTGTAACTCTTTATTATCAGGTTGCCCCAACAAGTCCATTAAAACGCTCCAATTAATTCAGAACGCTGCAGCACGAGTGCTGACAGGAACTAGAAAAAGAGATCACATCTCTCCTGTACTAGCTTCTCTGCACTGGCTCCCTGTAGAATAGAATTTTAAATCCTCCTCCTCACCTATAAAGCTCTTCATGGTCAGGCCCCTTCATATCTTAAAGAGCTCATAGTACCCTATTACCCCACTAGAACACTACGTTCTCTGAATGCTGGGATACTTGTGGTTCCTATAGTCTCTTAAAGTAGAACAGGAGCCAGAGCCTTCAGTTACCAAGCTCCTCTCCTGTGGAACCAGCTTCCAGTCGTGGTTCGGGAGGCAGACACCTTCAACACATTCAAGAGTAGGCTTAAGATATTCCTCTTTGATAAAGCTTATAGTTAGGGCTAGATCAGGTGAGTCCTGAACCATCCCTTAGTTATGCTGCTATAGGCCTAGACTATCGGGGGATTTCCCATGGTGCACTGAGCTCCTCTCTTCCTCTCTCTTTCTGCACTCATTCATGTCCCATTAATGCATGTTACTAACTTCACTTCTTCCCCGGAGTTCTTGGGCTTTCTTGTCTCGCAGGTTCTTATCGATCCTGGTGGAGCCTCCTGCCATGGTCCTGCTAGATTGCCATTGCCAATACTGTTGTTGCTGTGCACCTGTCTGTCTTTCTGTCTGTCTCTCTCTCTCTCTCTCTCTCTCTCTCTCTCTCTCTCTCTCTCTCTCTCTCTCACCACAACTGGTCGAGACAGACCCACCTAGAGCCGAAGGATCAGTCCTAGGTTTCTGCCTTTTAACAGGCAGTTTTTCCTTGCCCTTGTCGCCTAGTGCTTGCTCATGGTGGTACTGTTGGGTCTCTGTAAATAATGTTTTAAAGAGTTCGGTCTAGACCTACTCTATTTGAAAAGTGTCCTGAGATAACTTCTGTTATGAATTGGCGCTATCCAAATAAACTTGAATTGAATTGAATTGAAATTAATTAACACGAGTGTCATCATCGGTGAGCAGGAGCTCTCAGACACTGATTCAGATCAGATATGTTCTATTCTCCTGTCAACTTTATTAAGGGATTGCAAACATAATTAAGCCCAAGATGCATTTAACATTTATTACCGTGCTTCTTTTTTAGTGAGCCTCCCTAAGCCCAGCATCTCCATGATTCCTGCTGGTGAGGTTACCTGGGGTCAGGATGTTGACATCACTTGTTTGATCTCACTTCACACTCAACAACTTTTAAATGTAACATTCATTCTAAACCAGCCCTCGGGTTCATTAAGAGAGAAGCAAACGTCAAATAACACTGCTACCTTCAGAATCAGTAAAGTGGACTTTGTTGATGAGGGATCGTATCAGGCCTCCCAGTGCACAAGTCCTCATACTCCATGCATTAGTTGGTGAGTTAGGGGTTGTGTGGTTGTGTCCACATAGCATTTTTATTTTTGTTCACCCAGCACCTTCCGTTCAGTTCACCATGACTTTTTTGTGCAACCGAGTTCTTCTAGTTGAAAAACTCTGAACTTTTAACAAAGGCAATGGTGTTGTCCCTGTCGTTTATTTACAGGCAACCAGTCATATATTATGTGGTGGGACTCGTCACCCTGGTAACCAGAGATATGGAGGAGAAGCTTGTTCTGGTTATCCTGAGCTTTATGCTATGTCAGACAGAAATGATCATGACATGTGCTTTTATCACCCCTAGGTGTTGTTAGCTGTGTAGGCAACTCTTTGTTAACATAGTGTCCTTTATCTCACTGCACAATCACTTCATCCTAGCACCCCGCCAGCGCTGGCCAGAAAAGAAGAAGCCCTTAGGGGCCTTTAAAACCTTTGTGAAATGCTATTTTTGACACATTCTTTAGTTTTAAGGCCTTCTTGTGAATTCAGCATTACATGTAATCATTAGCCCATCAATGTACAGGATGCAAAGGTCCTAGAGATGTTCTCATGGGCTCCACCATGCTCACAGATGCCACCTGGTGGTTGCTGGTGCAAACAACAATTCCTTCCTGACAGCTCTCACTCCAGTTGTAAAGGTTTTAGTCCTTCACCATGGCCTCCTCAAACTCCTCCCTCACCATGCACACCAGCACAGAGGCTGCCCTCCTTCTGGCCTCCAAATACTGTACCTTTGTGCTGGGTCACCTGAGCCAACCAAGGCTGAAAGGACTGCTCATTCGTCCATCCATCCATCCATCCATCCATCCACTGAATCGACATAGATGAAACTGTTATGGGTACTGGCCTGGTGTCTGCTTAGGGATAACATAAAAACATTGTTTCTTATAACTTCACCTCTTACTACTGTACCTAATCATCATATTTATTCATCTGATGATTATATTCTCTATTTCCATGGTAACAGTGCAAAAGGAAGTGCTAACAGCTTATGCAGAAATACTTTCTATGGTGCTGCTCATTGACCTAGTCTATGGCCTGTTCTCTATATTTTTAAGGATAAACTGTTAAGTATTTCTCTTTCCTAGTTCCTTTGTGGCTGCTGGTCTCCTCAGTAGCTGCTGGGATCCTGCTGCTGCTCCTGCTGGTCTTGGTGGTGGTCTGTTTGGTCCTCAGGAGAAGGCGACGATCAAAGCAGCCTGAAGGCGTCGTCCAAACTCAATGTCTGTGCTCACCAGGACTCACATGACATGACATTATAAGACTAGTTGTTGTTTGTTTTTAATATTTTAAAGACACACTTATCTAAATGTTGTTATTATTTTAGTGTGCAAAGAATTATGTGATTGTTTTCAGACACATTTTTCATGTCAAATTTCTTCTGATGCTTGTGTTTCAGTGGCGGTCAGGAACAATTATGAAGAGGACAATGAGGAGAGTGAAGAGGAGGAGGGGGACTATGTTAATGTTGAGCCAGTGGACACCAACCAGATACAGACTGGACAAGCAGAAGGAGACGAAGACGAAGATGGTGATTATCATGATTATGAGGAAGCGCAGATTGAAGATGATTATTTAGTGGCTGTAGAGGTTTCTGTTAATATGGAACACAACAGAGAGGAACAAGTAGATGAAGAAGAAACCAGTGATGATGACAATGACTATGTGAACGTAACCCAGCCATTTACTGAACAAGAGGTGGACATTTATGGAGGAAATGAGGATATTTATCAGAACCTTTAGGTTTCCACTTGTCACAGTGTCACACTGATTATCGTGGATAAAACTATTACTCAACTATTGATTTTTTCAGAAACTGTGATATTAGCAATTAGTTTTAGTTCAGAATTTGGAAGAACTGGAGACTGAAATCAGTCCTATCACCCAATGATCTATTTACATGAGGATATTGGATCACATATAAATTAGACAATATGAGCAAATAAACATATAGTATTCAGTAAGAATGAATTATATCAAAGACAAAGTCGAGAAAAGACATTTTAAACTGTATAGTATAGCACATTTGCAAGTAAACTTAATATGCTTCTATTCTTAATATGCTCCTATTCTTAATATACTTTATATTCTTAATATGCTTCTATACTTAATATGCTTGATGTTCTCAATATGCTTTATATATATATATATATATATATATATATATATATAACACATTGTTTTGCACAAGTGCAGTTTGCCTTGGTTAAGGGGGGGTTACTGAACCCCTCGTGGGCGTAGGCAAATAGTATCTATATTTCATAGAACTAGTGCAGTGCCCGTAAGAAGTATGTATTGCTATAGAAAATGGGAGGTTTAGTAGCTTTTTTATGGATGGCCAAAATAGGTTGTATTTGAAGGGGGGACGTCAGGGGCATTTAGGTTTGTTGTGAAATGTGTAGATTGATAACTATTGTGTTTTCATATTTCATATTTGGCTTTCAGCAAGGACACTGTAGGGAGATGAACCCCATTCCACTAATGTGAAAGTACCACTCCTCATGGTCAGCGCATATAAATTCTGAAAGAAGAAAGTGAACTACATCTGAAATGGGATGAAACCTGGCAGCATAAACAGACTAACTTGTAGCATAGCCTAGTAAATGAACTGGGCAGGACATATTATTTAGCCCTGTAATATAGGCTAACATACATCAGAGAGAGAGAGAGATAGAGAGAGAGAGCAATGGCAGTAAGGGTTACCACATCAAAAAATTGTTTTGAAACTACCAAAATAGTGTGAACGGATAAGCCGACGGCGCGGAGCGAGGGTGTGTCGGTCAGACAGTCTGATCACTGCACAGGTCTCTCACTCAACTTAATAAAGAGAAATGTCCCACAAAGCAACGTTACAGGACCAAACAACACTAACGTAGTAACTGTAACTGTCTTTGGAAACTTACATGAGGAAAAAAAATACCACAGCTGTACGTGGAGAAGCGTCTGTCCTCCTGTCTGCCCTCCCGCCTGTCCTACCGACTGTTACCTTACGTTTCTGCCCGAAAAACAGCGTCTGTCACCGGCGAAAAACTCACGGTGTGTATGCGATCAAAAATCACCGCGACTGCCAGCCCTCCGGGCCGAGACATCAGTTTGCTCTCCACTGGAAAGCATTCTCCGTCTTGCGAGTGAGGGAGTCAGACTGCGTCCAGTTTACTGCTGGTGATTATGTAGAATTATGTGATTTAGAGTGAAAAACGTAACTTCGTCACTTTCCAGGATGTTTGGTGGGTCAGGATCTCAATCACTACACATTAGGGCTCTGCAGTGACTGGCTCTGGTGCACACGTGGCTATGGTGGCTATGGTAATGCTAGCGGAATTCTAAATAATTTATGAAATCATTTATTAACTGTATCTTTGTAGTCCAAACAAAGCTGACGTTGCACACCCTTAAACCACACAGCAGCCATGTTGAAACTCTCAAGTCAGTCTGATCCTGATCTGCAGAGATATTTGAGCCACACACACACACACACACACACACACACACACACACACACACACACAGACAGACAGACAGAGATTCCTTGCTTTATAGATAGATAACTAACTGATAATGCTGGTGGCATCATTGCTTACAGCAACAGCACTGAAGCTGAACCTGTTCCTGTTGGAACTATTGGACAAAGGACACCATAGGGTAGGTCTATAAACAAGCTTGCAAGGCTCATCTCTGGGGAAATGATTCATCCTGGGTTCTGTATCTATTATACTGTTAAGTTTTGCGAGTTCAGTTTCTTTGGTAATTCTCACAAGATTTTTTCACTTCTTGGGCACAAAGTAAGTGTGACAGGGTCAGAAATACTCCGGTGCATGTTCATTAGAATGTTTTTATTGGATTATTTGAGATAATGTTTTTATGCATGATGATTTTAGTATTGTGTGTAATTTGTATGCTTTTATACGTGCTGTTTCTTTTATTACTTTAATTATAATTGTTTTATGGAGTATTGTGAACTGAACTGTGAACTGTGACCCGGGAAGTTACGCCCCAACACAGCGCAGTTTACAAGATGAGCGGCAGGTGTGCGGGAGCGGCGCATAAAGGGACTGGTGATAGACGGCATGGGAAGTGTAATATCCTGAGATTGCTAATATTTGGTATTAACCTAGAGGGCGCTCTTGGGAATCCAAGTGTGTGTTACCCGGCGGGAAGTTACCTGCCAGGAAAGGTATAGGTAGAGGCCCCCTGGTGGCATGTGTGTGTTATGTCTGTGCTGCCTGAAATGTTTGATTAAAGCCACAAGAAACCTACAATTGAAGCCCTGGGTCCTCCTTTGTCAAATGCCGATCCACTATGTTATAGGAAGGAAACGGACAGAACGCGTGGACAGAACGGTTCGACACCTCCCCGGTGACAGCAACTGCCAAACTGCAGAGCAGCCCCCCGACGACGAGCATTGGAGCGCCAGTTTTACTCTGGCCTGGGTTGGCAGACGGACATCTGCCACCGGGAAGACTGTGAGTAAAAAGATACATTTAAGTGGCGGATAGAAAGAGTTGGGTGGGGGAGAGGTGAGTTGGCATACGTTTAAGGGGACGCACTACTCACCCTGCGTTTCTATCTCCCACAGCCACGGCGGAGGGCCTAGGCCAGGGGTGTCAAACTGATCCGTGAAAGGGCCGGTGTGGCTGCAGGTTTTCATTCCAACCATGCAGCAGCACACCTGACTTGGTTCATTCAATCAACTGAACTGTCTTCACACGGTCAAAAACTTGCAGCCACACCCACGCTTTAATCAAGGGTGGGTGTGGCTGCAAGTTTTTGTTCCAATAAAGCAAGAGGACACCTGAAATGACTGTGTGAAGACAGTTCAGTTGATTGAATGAACCAAGTCAGGTGTGCTGCTGCATGGTTGGAATGAAAACCTGCAGCCCCACCGGCCCTTTCACGGATCAGTTTGACACCCCTGGCCTAGACGCTGGTGCTGAGTGAGAAGACCAAAAGTTGCTGGGCGACCGTGGACTGTGCATGAGGGATGCAGTATTTTATGGACAATTACAGACTGTTCAGGCTTCACCACAACAGTGGTGTTGCTTTTTTATCTTTTAGTATTGTTTTAAGTGGTACTTAAGTGGTATCTTTTTATCTGTAGTAAATCCTTTTAAATGAATTTTTTTCTCTTGATGGACTTTTGACTCTGCCAACCCCAATTTAGAAGAACCTGTTTTTTTAGGAGTTGTAGGCTGCATATTAATCCTAGGTGGCGTTGTCGGCTTTTAATTTAGATAATTTTACAGATTTTAAACAGGCCCTGGAATTAGAGGTTTGGGCCCGGCCACATAAGGATTTAAAAATGCACCTGCTAGTATCCTGATTATTCATTTTCGTGTAAACGAATCCTCTGTTGTAAGTCACGTTATACATTTCATTTCCTATATGCAGCCTGGTCATGAATTATGAGACCAGACACAGACCACCCTCCATCTCACTGGATCAGTCTGTGCAAAGAAACTACAGTTCTGCTACAGCTGGGCTGTGGTATGGAACAGAGGACTCCTTGGACGGCCTACTTTGGTGATGGAACCGGACAAATCTTTCCATCAGCGTCAGCAGTCTTAAAATTAAGTGAAAAGAAATGTGGATTTCTGTCAGTGAGAAAGAAACAAGCAGTCAATATATCGTAGTATATCACTGTATATTATCTCTTTACTGTCTGTGTACTCGTGATGTAAATCTCTTTCAACAGATCCAGTTAATATATTCAGAAAAGCCCTCCTGTCTTTGATTCTGGTGTCGGTGACCATTTTCCTTTATTTCTGTTGCAAGGTACTGTGTACATATTTGTTCCTGAGAGGTTTGGCTAAAATCCAGAATGCAGTCTGTGCATATTTAACTGGAACAGAGGAAAGATGCAACCAGTTAAATGTGCATGCTGTCATGTCTCTGCAGGCCACCAGAGGGCAGAAATCAACCACACAGGAGACGACTGAGGTGGAGTATCATTACCTTGATGTTGTCAGAGCCTGAGGGGGCCCTACTGAGGAGGAAGGAGCCCAGCAGTAGGACCCCAGCGATCCTATGCCACATCCAGACAGATTTCTTTGCTGCCACACCATTTATCAGTTCAGTCAGGAAATGTATATTTTCATATTGCAGAAGAGAAGAGTGCTTGTATCAGTGAGTCAAACATAAAGGATGACAATTAAATTCATTAATTTTTTTCTTGTCTGTAACTGTCTTCAGACTATAGACTCTTTGTGTTTGGGTCAAATGTTATGGATCTGCCACACACAATGCCCATGTATTGTTCCAAAACCACAAACCACAACAGACCTTTTCCACTTAAACATTATTCCAGCAACCCAGTCACGTTTTATTGTGTTCACATTGGGCCATGTTATGTTGGCTACTGTGGGACTGTGCCTTGTTTACTGGCTGTTCTGTCCGACACTGTCAAGTCACAGTAGTTTCCAAGTTACGTGTAGATATCAGCCCTATGCTATTTAACTGTTTAACAAGCACTCACATAAGACCCTAAACAACTTCAGCTTAATAAAATGTTGCTGGGTGACATTGTATTAAGCTAAATTGTAATAGTGCTAGTTGAAAATGGTCAACTTGAGCATAAAATCTATCGTGGGGCTTTGCAGTGTGTTGTACGGGGAAGAAGGCCGTGCTGGAGCAGAGGTACACGGTTAACGATGCATGAGCATGTGAAGCAAAAGCTTTCTTTCTGTGTGAACACTGTGACGACTGTCCACTCTTTCTTCCTGTTTCTGTTTGTGTGGCTGCTTTCTGTGTAGGTACTAGAGGTGGGTGTAGCAGAGGCTCAATAGCAGCTGTGTCAGTGCGCCTTCAAAAACCCTCTTGGAGCTGAGTACTGGTTCTCTCTTCAACTACTACAACTATTGGGTTTTGGTTTGGTGGTTTGATTGTGTTGCTGTACCTTACAACACAGCACGCACACACTTCTCCACTCATGCTCTCACACCGCTGATCTCACCGATTTCACATTCTGAGTTTTCCTCTTAGTTTTATTCTTTGCCTAAATAACAACTAGTAACGTGATTTTGGGAAATTGTAATCACCCAACCAATTTTGACAAAGTATTGAGAAAAAAGAAATCAGAATTGTCTCCCTGCTGTATGAGGACCAGGGAATGAGGGGACAAACTGTCAGTCTCTGCCCTAAACCCAAACCCTTTAAGCTGGATGTAAAGTTGGATGTGTCTCCAGGGTGTAGATAGAGAATAAGATATTCCTGTGAAAAGGATTCCCCCTGAGAGCTAAACTGTGAAGTAAAGGGGTCCACACCTACACATACAGTGGAGGGTGGTCAGGCTCATCCAGCTTGCCAGATATTGACTGGTAAAGGAATACCTTTTTATGAGACTTGATGATGAAATGTAAACAGGGTTTATGTGACATCATGACTGCCAAACCACACTAAATCAAACCATGGTGTTGATTGCCAGAGCGCCTGGGTACACCAAGAAACACATCTTATACCGATAGTACAACCTTGGCCCTGGCCAGCAGTGGGGTAAATTCTAGAGACAAAGGGAATGAGCAGACAGGAAGTCATCCAGTGGTGGTGTATTGCTCTTTAGCTCTTCAGTTCTACCATGAAACCTTGAGGATTTAAGATGGGGGTGTAAACCTATCATGGGTCAGACCACACCACCTCAGTGAGTCTGTCAATATGGAGAATAATGAATATGTTTGCCTATGTCACTTCCTGAAGGCTCCCTGCTGCAGATAGTTGGTATGAGGTGGAGAACTGGAAAAGGGAAAAGTTGATTGTCTAAGCAGCTGCTCTGAAGACTTTGGGGAAGTTGGCCCTAAATGATGATTGTTAAGGTTCTTAGTCCAACCTAACCAGGAGGATCAGGGCATTGGGGTCACCGCTAGGAATCATGTTGCATGGTCAAGACAAAAGCTATTAGTAGTTCAGTCATCCAACTCACGTTTGAAATGTTTATTACAGCAGTATAGCATATTTCGATTTTGGCGTCTAGGCTCCGACCTCATCATTCCCCGCAGATATGTTTACATAGAGATATTGGGGAGTGATGAGCAAATACCTTAACCCCTAGCCGTAACCTACAGACTGCCTGAACGAACTGCTCCATTTCTGAAAAACTGTGGAAGGATCTTTGCTTGTGACAGCTGACTGAAAGTGGATTCAGCTGTTTGAGAATGGCCACTTTTTATAGCTCATATTGATTGGCTGGCTGAGTATGTATGAGGTAAATGTCAGTGTAGCAGCTAGTTGGCTCCTGCAAGAAACTCTCGTGCTCCATAAATGTAATAAACTTTTTCAGAAATGAGAAAAGATTGTTGATCGTGTTCCTTCATGACCTTCCTGTTCAGCAGTTAACCATAATGAATACACCCAGTTATCTTGCATGTGAACATACATACCCAGGGACAGTGTGCACATGTGGTTGCATGTGGTTGTATGTGGTTGTATATTTATACATCCATCAGCTTCCTCTTTTTAGAAAAGATGCACATAGACTGTGAGCCAGTTTCCTTTTCTCTCTTATTTTCTTATCTGAATTATTTATTGATTTTTACAGGGTGACTGTATTTAGTTTACTCAATATTTGAAATCATAATTTCAACCTGTTTGCATTATGTAGAAGAGAGTCATACACCATCTATGTTCTTAGCAGTACGTTTAAAAAGAATCCACAGTTTATAGGAAGTAGTTGGTTTGGAGATCTTTTGTGACAAACAAGAATTTATAAAAATGTTTTCAAGAACTTGGGTTTGTTTTAATTTACTGAATGCATAGGTGATTTTGTAACATTTGAGGAACCAGTGTTAGTTCCAGTTAGACTTTTTCTTAGTTGTATGACTCAGCAACAAGTGTCCACGTGGTTTTCAAACTCAAGTGTGTCAATGTTACTTACTTCACTGTGTATCTCATCTAAACCCTGGCAGAGAGACTGATGATTCAATGGTCGGGTAGTGTAATAAAACCAGAACAATCTCAATGACAACTGAACTAATTTCATCCCATTATGGAGGCCATGAGATGTTGCTACAACCAACAGAAACCTTCCCACTTCCTGAGCCTTGTTCTAACAATCTTTTCAAACTAATATTTCCAAAGTAATTAATGGATCTCAAAATAAATCAATGTTGTACCATGAGTGTGTACTATACCAAATAGCTGACATTAATATGATAGCAAGAAAGGAAACCTTCACTGGGATCAGCCAAAGGAGAAAGTCTAATATATCACATTTTATGATAAACAATGCCTCACTGCATATTTATATTTCTGGATTATGTAACCTGACACACCACAAATAATAATTGTTGGTATTTTCAAGGATCGTAATGTTGTCTTTTCTGACATCTACTTGTTTTTCATTACAATAAGTACAGAAGAACCTTTATTCAGCATTTTCTTTATTTGATATTCCCTGTTGTCATGCTTCATGTTGAAATGTCCACATAGGTCTGCCATTTAAACCAACAGAGGCAAACAACTTGTGTTGGTTTTCATGAAGACGCTCAGTGTTGAAACATTAGTCTGTTTGCAAAATTGGAAGAAGAAGAAGACAAACAACAGTTTCCTGTTGAATCTCTGCCTTTAGGGATCTTCAAGTTGAAGCTATTTTCATCCACCATCCAGCACTTTGATGATGAATTCACTTGAACTGAAGTTCTATACTAGTGCCAAACAAACTGCAGTCATATGTTTAAAGTAAAATTCTCTGAAAGCACAAAATGCCAACTATGGAATATCTTTGTGAGCATAGAGGTGACATAGTGAACTTGTTAATCTACAACAAATAGAATATTTCCTAGTTGCTTTGAATGTTGCTTGTGCTGCTGCACTCTATAATTAAACTACTGAGTATTTGGAGTTAGTAGAAAAACCAGCAGAAAGGAGGAAGTGTTTCAGGAAGAACTGCAGTGTGAAGTGTCTCTGTACACCACAGCTTTTAGTTGAGTTTTATCCTCTGCTCTGCCACTGAACACTCATACAGAGCATCCTTTCTGTCTCAGCCATGGGGAGCACACAACACAGAAACTTCTGTTTGATCACAGGTGAGAAGCATTTTCTGGAATTGAAATGTCTTCATTGTTTTTATATACAGATAGTACAGGAAGGAGGACTTTCAGAATCAGTGCTCAGTTTTAAAATCCTCACAGTTCTCATTTCATTGAATTCAATTAGGAAGCTAAATCACAAAGAGGATGTCTTATATTTCAGCCTGTTTCAGCTTATATAATGAGACATGGTATTTTTTCTCCCCTGTAGTCTCTCTTCTCTTGACCGTATCTCCACCTGCTGCAGGTCAGTGCATTCTCCTGGGTTAAATACTTGCTGTTCTTCATTTATACTGTAAATATTGAAACACTGTATCTTACAGCCTTTTCTTTTCATAGACAGTCAGATCAGATTGGCTGGGTCTGGGTCTACTCGGTGCTCTGGAAGAGTTGAAATCTATTACAGTGATACCTGGGGAACAGTCTGTGATGATGACTGGGACTTAAATGATGCTAAGGTGGTGTGCAGTGAGTTGGGCTGTGGTACGGCACTGAGTGCCCCTTGGTCAGCACACTTTGGTCAAGGAAGAGGACAAATCTGGCTTGATGATGTGGACTGTTCAGGAAGTGAAAGGTCTCTAACTCAGTGTCAGCATGGAGGATTTGGGGTAAACAACTGTGGACACGGTGAGGACGCTGGTGTGGTCTGTTCAGGTGAGAAGACATTTGGATCATTTATAGAATATCAAATAAATATAAACATATGATCTACTGTTTTCACTATCATCTAGTCATTGTGGTTTATGATGTGTGTCAGTTGGTTAACACTGTAAAAATATAGCTGATCACTAACTTAATGTAAATATAAAATTATTTATTTAAAGTTAATTAAACTTAAAATTGCAGAAAATAAATACATCTAATATATAAATATATACAGAGATAAATATGGAAATATAAAGAGAAATAAATAAAATTATCAATAGAATAATTTTAACTATTTTTTATTAATTTCCAGATGTATTTGTTTACTTATTTCTACGATCGAGGAAGGAGGACTTTCAGAATCAGTGCTCAGTTTAAAAATCCTCACAGTTCTCATTTCATTGAATTCAATTAGGAAGCTAAATCACAAAGAGGATGTCTTATATTTCAGCCTGTTTCAGCTTATATAATGAGACATGGTATTTTTTCTCCCCTGTAGTCTCTCTTCTCTTGACCGTATCTCCACCTGCTGCAGGTCAGTGCATTCTCCTGGGTTAAATACTTGCAGTTCTTCTCTGTATAAATACTAAAATTACTAAATATATTTTTTGTCTCTAGGCATACCGATCAGATTATCTGGGTCTACTCAGTGCTCTGGAATAGTTGAAATCTATTACAACGGTGCCTGGGGAACAGTCTGTGATGACAGCTGGGATTTATATGATGCTATGGTGATGTGCAGACAGTTAGACTGTGGTACAGCTTTAAGTGCTCGGGCTGACTACTTTGCTCCAAGAACTGGACAAATCGGGCTTCATGTGGACTGTTCAGGAAGTGAAAGGTCTTTAACTGAGTGTCAGTTTAGACAATCTGGAGAACACTGTGGCTTCAGCATTGGCGCTGACGTGGTCTGTTCAGGTGAGAAGACATTTGGATCATTTACAGAATATCAAATTAATGTAAACATTTGCTCTACTGTTTTACATTTCTATCATCCAGTCATTGTGGCTAAACTATAGGCCTAATCCTATTGTTTAATCTCTGTTAAAAAAATTATAATTATATATATTGTTTTATGGAATGAACATCTCTGTTGAACAGTAAAACAAAGTGGACACTGAAGTTGTGAATTAAGTTTCCTACAGAAGTTATAAACATTTTTGCAGGTCTATTACTTCCACGTTTAAAACTAGACCTTCTGAGTTTCTGAAAAAATAACTTATCTATCGCTAATAGACAGTATTCACCCTAGGTTAAGGCTAAATGTCAGAAATGTTAATCATGTTACAACTCATGTAACATTCAACTTTCTATTAGCGACCTCTCAAGTCCTGTTAAGGTCATGGGACAGCAGAGGTTCCTGGGAAAATATTATCAGTTCTTCTGCACAGATCATAACCATCTTTATGATGAAACATATTGGTTGGGATTGCTTCCCTAGCTGTTCCCAAGTAATTCCTGCCATGTTTCAAACAAACAATGCAATTCAAAAAGTCCAAAAGATAATGTCTTTCAGGACATTTGTGCTTAAATGAAATTGATATAAATCTAAAACAAGGTAGAATTACAGTCAACATACTTTCAAACTATGTGGAAAACCATTAACCAATGCAGTAAAAATATGAATATGAAGATATGAAAACATATGTTATATGAAGATATGCCGACAACACTGCAGTGGCACCTCTACAATAGATACAAATCTTTCAGAAGGTACAGAACCTAACAGACGCAGAGACAATGTCTCCTTAATGCTGAACACATGGGGCTAATACAAATACAGAAATAACGCTTCCTAACACGTGTTACGTGTGTATGTTTTTGCCTCTGCTGTCTTGTCCTGTTCCAGGTACTGCCCTCCCCTCCGACTGGTCAGGCACACCTGCAGCACCTTAGCAATCAGGTGGATTGTTATAAAGCTGCAGGGTAGAAGCAGAGGGGGGGGCAGTGGGCCAGATAGCCGAACAGAGTCGTGTCACTGTCGGTGTGTGAAGCAGAGCTGTGTGTCGCTCTCAGGTTACCTTTATTCCCTCAGTGGAGGGATAGCGTTATTTATTGTACCCGTTTTGTTTAGCTTCCTTCAATTTTAGGAAGTTGTTTTGTGTTTGCGTTTGAATAAATAGTTTAACAGTACCAATATTTCTGTCTCCTGCCCTTCTTTGAACGCCCGGGTCATTATTAATTGTTGCTCCCCTTTTTCCGCTGGACACCACAACTGGGAACGGGGGGTCGTTTACCGGTGACTGTGGCCGTGGCCATGGTTGAGTCCGCAGGGGAGGTCCGCTCCGAGTTTCGGGGGGTGGAAGCAACTGAGCCGTGGCAAGACATTTTTAACATGACCCCCGGTGTAAAACGTGACGACAGGGACGAGAAGCAGTTTACGTTGCCGCGTTTTGAACCGCTGTCTGTTGAAACGACCCCTGGCTCCAGGTGGACGCTTGGCTAAAGCTGTGTTCAGCTCGTCTCCAACTGGAGGAGGAGGAACGGGAGCTGATGTTGTTGGAACTGAAACTGTGTGCCTGAGCGGACTGTTGTGTATTTAAATGAGCAGAAAGTATCTACACTGCGGCAGGCTGCTGGTACATCTTTCTCTGGTCCTGAGGGAGAAACTGTTTCTTCTGTCATGAGCCTGACCATCTTATTGCCGACTGCATTGCGTGGCGTTTTGAGAATGGTAATAAAACAGTGCCACAATGTAATTAACACAGTGAAACTAATAAAACACAAGACACACACAGCAGTCTTAAAATGATCAGGGATGTGGATTTCTGTCAGTGAGAAAGAAACGAGCAACCAATATATTGTAGTGTGGAGGGGCTATGGTGTTCGTTGTTATTTTCATAAAAGGGTATATTAAAAATGACTGGTTTAAAATCAGGCGAGAGGGCAATTGCTAAAACCAAGAAGACCACAGATCCTAGAGCAGAAACTGATGTTTATTACAGAATAAAATCAGGTTAAAAACACGGGTAAAAGACTAAAAATGGTAAGACAAATAATAAAATGGCGTTGAAATGAGGGAAGCTAAAAACTGAGGGGCGAGGGAGTCTAATAGAGTCTTCTCTGCAAAGGCAGGGGCTGCAGCACACACTCGGGGCCCCGTCGCCGTAGAAAGCGTTGATACTATCCGTACTCGGTCCTGCGGCCTCTCGACGCCGCTGCACCGCACCGTCGTCGACACTCCCAGTGGGCAATACATGCAATAAAACACAAATAAAAACTACACACTAAAATCAGAAATATTGTAAATTAAAATCACACTGGGAGCTAAAAAGACACATAATAAAATCTTACTGTACCCATGTGACAGTAGTATATCACTGTACATACATTATCTCTTTACTGTCTGTGTACTCATGATGTAAATCTCCTTCAACAGATCCAGCAGTTAATGAAATCAAAAAGGTTATCCTGTCTTTGATTCTGGTGTTGGTGACCATTTTCATTTATTTCTGTTGCAAGGTACTGTGTACATATTTGTTCCTGAGAGGTTTGGCTAAAATTCAGAATGCAGTCTGTGCATATTTAACTGGAACAGAGGAAAGATACAACCAATGAAATGTGCATGCTGTCATGTCTCTGCAGGCCACCAGAGGGCAGAAGTCAAGCACACAGGAGATGACTGAGGTGGAGTATCATTACATGGATGTTGTCACAGTCGAAGAGGGCCCTGCTGAGGAGGAAGGAGTTCAGTCACAAATTGTATATTTTCATATTGCAGAAGAGAAGTGTGCTTGAATCAGAGAGTCAAATATAAATAATAACTAAATTCATCAAGTTTTATTCATTTCTTTGGATAGCTCACCTACATGCAGTTTTGTAACATTTCAACTGTTTTCTTTAGATGTTTAACAGATTTGTCTACAAGATATATGTGACAGTTCATTAAAATATCATACACAATATGTTTTTGTCCCTAACCTTAACCAAACCTCCCACAGTGGTGAACTATCAGCAAACAGTTGTATCTATGCTAATGTTGTTGTTTTATCATTATTCTTTGCAGTTTTGCTCCTTTTTCACCATATGTTTATTATTATTTTGTGTTTCCACCTGTTTTTAGGGAAGCTTGTTTGAGATTTTATTTTGATTATACTTAATAAAACAGATTGCATAAACATGGTATTGTGCTATATGTTTTTGCTTGACTCTGTAATTGTCATATTTTGGGGTTTTCTTTGACTATTTCCAGTTTTATTTTGTAGTTTTCCTCCTTTTGTATCTTATTCTACTTTACTTCCAGTCTTAGTTTCCCCTCACCAGGCTTTATATTGCCTGTGTCAAATTCATTCTGTTAGTTGGTTCTTGTTTGCATGTGTTGCTTTTCCTCATGTTCCCTCTTTGTTCTATGGACTACTTCCTCAGTTTGGACTTATTGGTTTTATTTCCTTATTTTTGTGTAAGTTTATGTTCCACCACCCCATTTAGCAATAAATCACCTGCACTGTTCCTGCTCTGCTAGTCTGCTTTTGGTCCTATATCCTCGTGTTCCACAGCTCAGTTTCCACACTTGTGACAGTAACTGTGTTCAGACTATAGACTCTTTGTGTTCAGGTCCACACTCTAAAGCCAAGTCACTGTAAAGTATACATTTTTCTTCAGGATGTCTCTGACTTTCTGTATTTATGCTTAGGGAGGGTTACACAGGGTTATCTTAAGAGGACTGACACATATTTGTGTTACACTGTGTGTTACATCTGCATACCAGAGTTTGTGAAGCAGCACATGCCTGTGTAATCAGGGATGTTGTGGTGGTATCATAGTACCAAAAACTTGACAGTGATTCTAAAAAATGTTCTGAAAAACAGTGGAAGGATATTTGCTCGTGACAGCTGACTGAAAGTGGATTCAGCTGTTTGAGAACGGCCACTTTTTATAGCTCATATTGATTGGCTGGCTGAGTATGTATGAGGTAAATGTCAGTGTAGCAGCTAGTTGGCTCCTGCAAGAAACTCTCGTGCTCCATAAATGTAATAAACTTTTTCAGAAATGAGAAAAGATTGTTGATCGTGTTCCTTCATGACCTTCCTGTTCAGCAGTTAACCATAATGAATACACCCAGTTATCTTGCATGTGAACATACATACCCAGGTACAGTGTGCACATGTGGTTGTGTGTATTGCAAGTGTCAGTGTCGTGTTTACTTTCACAATGTACTTTACCAGACATCAAATATTAGTATTATTGCAGTACAGGAAACCTTCACTGTGAGCAACCAAAGGAGTCTTACACACCACATATTGAAGTTAAAGGACTTTTAAAAAAGGTTTTTATGATAAACAATGCCTCACTCAATACTTTTTGTCTCATATATTTTTTGGCCCTTCAAGGGAAAAGGTTTGGGCACTCCTGTGTTTGAAATTGACTCAGTCACAACCATCATCGTGTTAAACCTGGACCAGGAGGTCAAGCAGTTTCACACTTACATTAGAATACCAGATGGATCCATCAATGGAGTTGATGTAACCTGAAATACCACAAATAATAATTGTTGATATACTCATGGATTCTAATTTTGTTGTTTCTAAGCTCTACTTTTGCTTTATTTCATTACAATAAATACAGAAGAACTTTTTTTCGAGCAGTTTTTTATTGAATGTGTGATATTCCCTGTTGTCATGGTTCATGTTAAAATGTTCACATAGGTCTGCCATTTAAACAACAGAAGCAAATTATTAAAGGCTGTGAATTAATCAGTGTGTTCCCATTTTGTTCACTACAGCTGTGTGTATGAAGTCACACTGTCCTCACGGAAATCCACTTCCACCAAAACAACACTGATTAGTGTCATTACATGTAAGTTTAATGTAGGATTTAAGCATTGAGAAAGAAAATTAAGAAGTTGAAGGGAAAATAAGTTTATGAGGAGATAAAGAGTGAAAAAGAATACTGAATTAAATGAATATGAAAAGTGTGGGTTCTTATAATATACTGTATGGATATGTTCATGTGTATTTTGTAGAATCAGAAGAATCCAAACCAATGGCAGGCATTAAAAATAACTATATAGAAATAACCAATCCTGATGTTTTTCTGTGCTTATGTAGGTCATATAGTGGCAAAACAGCCACAGTGTCTCCTGAAAGGCAGTCATATTGTTTTAGACATGAAAAGTGACAGACATAGTTCTCTTGAATAATTACTTCTGTGACTGTGAGGAGGAGGGTTTGAGCTTCTTCCCCTGGCCTGACAAATGTAGACACAGCCCTGAACATCTCACTAAGTGGTGACTGTGATATTTTTATTTCTCTTAGTTGTATTTAGTATTAGACATGGCGATAGCCTAATAGAGAGATCCTCTTGTTCTGACTTGTGCTGTAAGGAGAAGCTGCTCTAACTAAAGTATCTGTCTTGGACATAAAAAAAACCAAACGATCTGAAGCTCCGATCTAAAAATAATACACAATTCTCTTTTTTTTACTTGCTTTTGCTTCTAGTTACACAAACCAAAGCAAGATATATATATATAACAATCTCATACTCTGCCTTCATTTTCTTACCATCTCTGGCATTCCTTTACCTATACAGTCTTTGTAATTCATACAATGTGGTGAAATTAAGGAAACAAAAGTCACTTGGTTAAAGTGGGGAAAGAATGTGTTCATGGTAAAAAAGTAAATCTACTGAAAAGTAGTATCACTGTTCTGGAAACCAGGGCTCCCAGTGAACAGGTCCTCAGGGCCAGCCCAAGCCTCCATAGGGCCCTAAGCAAAATTGAATTGGAATTTGGGGGCCCTCTATTACTGCCAATAATAATGATTATTGATCATTCACACCCCTACTATAAACGTATTCCACTTATTCTACTCTGTCATTACGAATACACTTGTAAAACTAAATGTGAGAACTTGAAAATGATGCAGCTTATTTTCTAAATAAAAAAGTACAGCTATAGCTTGTAATAAGAAAACAAACTGCCAGTGGAACAACTGAAAATTGCTTGAGAAGTTTTGAAATAATATGGATTTGTCTAAAATCATGTCCCTTGTCATATGATTATATCTTATATCTTATATTATAAAAATATTCATCTCAGTATGTTCTGCAGTGCACTGAGCAATTAAAGGCTGTTCTGTTGCCAGGTAGAGCTCAGGTTGCAGAGAGGACAGTGGGCACAGTGGATGGAGCAGAGGATAGAGATGGACCTGAGATGAAAAACATGTCCCTTGTCATATGATTATATCTTATATTAGTATATCTTAATGAGTTTTTGATCACCTGATTCATCAGCCTTGGCTGCTCCTGAGGAGGTGGATTGCCCCTGGGCTGAGTCAGTGCCTCCTCCTAAATACTTTAACAGTGCTCCTGGGGAAGTTTCATATAACGTATGAGCACAATAGGGAGTTGATGTAAAAGAAATATGTTTATTTACTCACATAAATTACTGTGCTCTGCAGCAAACAATTGCAAACAACATACCTCAAAAAAAAGTTAATTAATTCATTAATGCAAAACCATATTGCTAGCAAACGTCACCGCGTTTGTAATTAACGTTAGTTATTAAACATTTGCTATCAAACGTTGTCCTCTTCCTTCCTTCCTTTTTCTTTTTTCTGCCCCTGAAGGGTAAGTCCTTTTTTGCCACATCACCTGCTCCTAGCTCCTGGATGCTCAGTGCGCACGGCACTGCACGGTTGGGAGCACTGCACACGTTACTGACGGAGCTCTGACAGTTCGAGCAGAGAGTCAGTAGGAAACTACACTCTGTTAACATCATATTGTTGGTGGGGTTTTTTTGTTTTTTTTGTACAAGAATGTACATTTGGTAATATATGAATCATCATCACTCACACATGGAAAAAAATTATTAATAACTTTTTTCTTTTTTAAGTTAATTGCTCTTTGGGGCCCACTAGTGGTCACAGGGCCCTAAGCAGCTGCTTAGTTCGCTTATGCCTTGGGCCGGCCCTGCAGGTCCTCATACTCCATGCATTATTTGGTGAGTTAGGGGTTGTGTGGTTGTGTCCATATAGCATTTTTATTTTTGTTCACCCAGCACCTTCCGTTCAGTTCTTCTAGTTGAAAAACTCTGAACTTTTAACAAAGGCACTGGTGTTGTCACTGTCGTTTATTTACAGGCAACCAGTCATATATTATGTGGTGGGACTCGTCACCCTGGTAACCAGAGATATGGAGGAGAAGCTTGTTCTGGTTATCCTGAGCTTTATGCTATGTCAGACAGAAATGATCATGACATGTGCTTTTATCACCCCTAGGTGTTGTTAGGTGTGTAGGCAACTCTTTGTTAACATAGTGTCCTTTATCTCACTGCACAATCACTTCATCCTAGCACCCCCGCCAGCGCTGGCCAGAGAAGAAGAATATAATAATAATGCACTAATAATAAAGAAATAGAAACAAAAACATCCTCCCTCCAAAACGAAAGAACTTCTCATCCAGCCCACAGACTCAAAACAGACAGATGTACTCGTCATAACCACGAAAAAATAGCAAACGTTTTTGCACAAGTGCAGTTTGCCTTGGTTCAGGGGGCTCACTGAACCCCCTCGTGGTCGCAGCCAAATATTATTTCTTAGAATAACATTGAGCTAATCGTTTACTGTAACCTGATGCCTTGCTCTTTAATAATAAATACAAATGGTGAATTAATTATGTGACTGTGATTATTTTCATAAAACATTGGTTCTTGTCTAATTCTGTGGTATGGTAGCCCACCTTCACACACACACACACACACACACACATGCACACACACACACACACTACCATTACAGGCAAAGGAGTAGCGGGGACACACTTCAACTTTTTAACATGATCAAATAATGAATATATGCTGTTTCTTTGCGAAAAGAGAGATGGTCGAGTTTTCTGACGTCACCACAGAAACCATTAACATGTGAAAACCACCAACACTTTCGGTGCCCAGGGAAGGAAACAAAGAAAAGAAGAGGAGGAAAAACACGACAAAGACAGAGGTAGAGTGAAGATAATGTGATGAAATGATTTATCTGTAACAGAACGATAGTAACCTTAACTTAACACGGTTTGCTAATCAATAAATAGCGTTAGCTCGTTTTAACGTCAGTTCATGTTATGGAGGGGCCAATGATATATATAATACTCCCACCTTCTATTTCTCAGGGACATTTGTAAAGATATCTATTCAGCAGGTGTTTACACTTGTCTACATTTTTATTTGTATTTATTATTGGTTAGCTATCGTTGCTCTGCTTGAAACAGTCATTCAGATGCTATTCCTTTCACACACCTTTATATATTAGAGTTGTACGCCTTGTTGTTTGTTGTGTTACAGTTCAGTATTGTCTAAAGTGTGTTTAAATTGTTAAACTTTACATCCATCTTAAAGTACACATCATTAATGTTAATACATTCCCATATGTTATATTATACTGTAGTTTACTGCTTCTTTACATTCTGATAATCAGCATTTGACTGTAATGACAATAAAATTAAATCTAATCTAATTTGCATATCAGAAGACATTGCACTGTATATCATTCATGTACAGTACAGTGAAAGTAATGCATCTCTTAGGTTTTTCATGTTTATTATTTATTTTTATTCTTGGAATCATTTCTGTTATTATTAGACTGTAACACCGAACTCTTCCTGTTACAGTGGCTGCTGCTGAAAGAAGCTTCTCCGAGCTCAAACTCATTAAACCTTACCTGAGATCTGCTATGATGTAAGAACTCAGTGGACTTTCCACCATAAGCATCAATCATGTGGTCTCAAATCAGTTGTCATATGATGAGGTTGTAGATGACTTTGCTGCAAGAAAGACTAGGAGAGTACAACTGTAGCAGGTGATGTGAGGATGACTAGGTGGTGGTGTAGTTTAATTTATTTTATCACTTGTTTACAGTTTTATTTTGTAGGTTGTTAAATTTTATACTTTGTGTGCGCTATTTATATTTCTTGTATTATTTATTTCTAATTTATTATTTTCTTGTTAACTGTTTTGATTGAGTACCTTGTTTCTCTAAAAATAAAATAAAATGTCAAAGACAAAGCCAGTTTCTTACGTGAGTATATTTATGTATATAACTGGCTGTGGAATTTACTGCGATGCAACGGGGTCGCCAACTAAAATCTTGCCTAGGGCGCCAAATTGGTTAGGGCCGGTCTTGAGCGTGTGAACGTACATACCCAGGCACACAAGTGTACACATGTGGTTGCTTGTGGTTTTGTGTATTGCACTCTTTGGTATCATGTTTACTTTTTAGATGTGCTTTATCAGCCATCAATCATGAGTATGAAAGCACCACAGGAAACCTTCGTTGTGATCAACCAAAAAAAATAAAAATACACCACATAGTAAAATTAAATTACTTTGTAACAAGGTTTTTGTGATAAAAAAGAAAATAAAATAATTTCTAACGTGAAATGCTACAAATAGTAATTTGGTATCATCATTTATCCTAACCTCTCTCTTCTCTGGAAGAAGCAAACAACAGTTTCCTGTTGAATCTCTGCCTTTAGGGATCTTCAAGTTGAAGCTATTATCATGGTGACATAGTGAACTTGTTAATCTACAACAAATAGAATATTTCCTAGTTGCTTTGAATGTTGCTTGTGCTGCTGCACTCTATAATTAAACTACTGAGTACTTGGAGTTAGTAGAAAAACCAGCAGAAAGGAGGAAGTGTTTCAGCAAGAACAGCAGTGTGAAGTGTCTCTGTACACCACAGCTTTTAGTTGAGTTTTATCCTCTGCTCTGCCACTGAACACTCACACAGAGCATCCTTTCTGTCTCAGCCATGGGGAGCACACATCACAGAAACTTCTGTTTGATCACAGGTGAGAAGCATTTTCTGGAATTGAAATGTCTTCATTGTTTTTATATACAGATAGTACAGGAAGGAGGACTTTCAGAATCAGTGCTCAGTTTAAAAATCCTCACAGTTCTCATTTCATTGAATTCAATTAGGAAGCTAAATCACAAAGAGGATGTCTTATATTTCAGCCTGTTTCAGTTTATATAATGAGACATGGTATTTTTTCTCCCCTGTAGTCTCTCTTCTCTTGACCGTATCTCCACCTGCTGCAGGTCAGTGCATTCTCCTGGGTTAAATACTTGCTGTTCTTCATTTATACTGTAAATATTGAAACACTGTATGTTACTGCCTTTTCTTTTCATAGACAGTCAGATCAGATTATCTGGGTCTACTCGGTGCTCTGGAAGAGCTGAAATCTATTACAACGGTGCCTGGGGAACAGTCTGTGATGACAGCTGGGACTTAAATGATGCTAAGGTGGTGTGCAGTGAGTTGGGCTGTGGTACGGCACTGAGTGCCCCTCAGTCAGCACACTTTGGTTCAGGAACTGGACAGATCTGGCTTGATGATGTGGCCTGTTCAGGAAGTGAAAGGTCTCTAAGTGAGTGTGAACATGGAGGATTTGGGACACACAACTGTGGACACGATGAGGACGCTGGTGTGGTCTGTTCAGGTGAGAAGACATTTGGATCATTTACAGAATATCAAATAAATATAAACATATGATCTACTGTTTTCACTATCATCCAGTCATTGTGGTTTATGATGTGTGTAAGTTGGTTGACACTGTAAAAATATAGCTGATCACTAACTTAATGTAAATATAAAATTATTTTTTTAAAGTTAATTAAACTTAAAATTGCAGAAAATAAATACATCTAATATATAAATATATACAGAGATAAATATGGAAATATAAAGAGAAATAAATGAAATAACACAAAGAATAATTGAAAGTATTTTAATACACAAAAAAAAAGGCGTGGCCATGAGATAATTATTGCAGTCATTTCCATGCAGAGACTTTTGATTTTTAACATGGACAAGTTTTAATTAATTTCATTTTATTTAAATATAGGAATGAATTACAATGGCATACTTCAGTCACTTGCACAACACAACACAACACACACACACACACACACACACACACACACACACACACACCACACCACAACACACAAATGCAACTGATTTGCGGACTTTATGTCTTCTTCGCGGGGTTTGCAGCTTTCCGATGACGTCACTTCATAACGTTCCCATGGCAACAGGAGGGAAATGGCTGCTCTTGTGTGAAATAAACGCAAAATTTTTCAACTTTCTGCAAAGACAGGTGACTTTTTCTGCAACTAAAATGCAGGGGTTATGAAATCATGCAAGCCCCACATATTTCACGCACTTTGCGCGGAAATCGGCGATGTATGCCGCGAAAGTGCGGCGTCTTTGAAAAGAAATAAATGTGCGGACTCTGGCTGATTATGCGTTGAATGATGTGATCGAATAATCACGTTTTTCTGGAGGGACTGCATTTAGCATTACCAACAGGGACATGTCCGGCTTCACTGACATTACACTCGCCATGACAATAATAACAAAGCTACTCTTGAATACAAAAGCAGACTATAAACTACCTTTATTCATGAATAATAAACAGCATCACTGACAGCTCCATATGGATAACCATCCTGCTACTGAAGGTGAATGATCTCGTGGCCACGCGTAATTTTTTTTATCCAATGTCACCAGGGAGGCTCCG